TATTAATAATAATAAGAATATAGATAATCTTAATAATAATATAAAAAATAAATTATTAGAAAATCTATTTTTATTTAAGTTAATTAATATCACACGTATTCAGATATAGATAGATATTTAAATTATATAATATTTTTACTATCATGACTACTGCTCTAGATAATATAAAGAATAAAATAAATAATAATTATAATTATATTACTAATATTCTAAAGCTGGTATAAATATAATAATATTTTTTTTCTTGGAAGCTGGGACTTTCTGTAAAAGTCTAATATAAAATTTATTTTATTATTTTTACTAGCCAATAATATTAAATATAATTAATAAATAATATATTACTTATAATATCTCATAAATACAGTATTTTATATAATCTTATTCTTGGTGTAATAGTATTGTAAGAAATATATAAAAATTATAAATTAATTTATAATTATTAATTTATCTGTTATACCTGACCTTTCTGACCTGTGGTTAAGGAAGATTAATAACTGCTAAAGTAATTTCTTAACTGTAATCTAATCTTAACTGGATAGTTAAAGAGATTTTTATATTTTAATCTAACCGCTGGTTAACAGTCAGGTTAATGATCAGGTATAACAGTCAGGTATACCCACTCTACTAATAATATTATTATTATAATTATAAAATATCTTTATAGAACTCTTATTTATATTACTTAATAAAATCTAATTATTTACTATATCAGAGATATTTTATATAATAATTATTAGATACTATAAAACCTCTTTTATAAATAAAATTAAAAAGTGCTTCTAATAAAAACTTATTATTATTAAATATCTTTAATATATATAAATATAATTTATTATATTTATACTAATATATATTTAGGAGTAAAATAATACTATATTAATTAAATTTTCTTTATTTTTTATTTTTTATAATTATTTATATAAATAGACAATCTATTATAAATTAGTTATAATTACTAAATCTATTTTTAAAAAATATTATTAAATTCTTTTTCTTTATCTTACAGATCTTTATAAATTATAATAATATTTAGATAAAAAGTAATTTTTCAGTTTATATTATTTTTTCTTTTTTAAATCTTAATATTAAATATATTATAAGATATTAGAAAATTATTCTATATCCAGTCTACCCGGAAAAAATCCTTATTTTTTATAACTAGTAGTAAATAACTACTTTTAACCAGGCTTGTATATAAGGCCAGAAACTATTTTTTTATTTTAATTAAAAAAAAATAATAATAATATAAACTTACTTTTAAGAAAATATATTATTTTTTAATAAAACTTTTTATATTTTTTATATTATATATTTATATATTCTACAGTATCTAATAATTAATAATTTTAGAACTAGTTTTATGAGCTACTATTTTTATAAGAATTATAAAAAATAAATATTCTAGTATATCTCTAAGTATATTATTAAATAAATACTGGATAAAGAATTATTATAAATATATAAATATTAATAATATTTTTATAAATACTAATTCTAGAATCTTATCTTTATATAAAATTCCTGGACTTTTTAGTAGATTATTATTATTAATATCTACTATATTATCTCTAGATTCTAACTGTCTATAATAAAAGAAATTTTTTTAATTAAGTATTATACTTTTTTATTATCTGTTACCTGCTATTTTATATTATTAAATATATTTAATTTAAATAAATAATTAATCTTACTATTCTGGTATTCTTTTAAATATCTATTTTTTTTTATTAGATACAGATTAAAAAATATTTTTTAAAGCTGTTAAAAAAGATATATATTTAATTATTATTAAAGTTTCCAGACAGCAGGTATATATTAATTATAATTAATTATTAAATTAATCTAGATTAAAAAATATTTTTTATTTTAATTAAATACTTTCTAACAGAGAATATAAACTACTATAAGATTTTATTAAATTTCTAATTAATATCTAGATCTCATACTGGTAAGAACCTGGCTGAGATTATCTTAAAGATTTTATAAAAATATTATCTTATTTACTAGCTGTTAAAGGTGACTACTAATAATATTAATAATAATAATATTATATTTAATATTATTATATTTAATATTATTATATTTAATATTATTATATTAGAACTCCAGACTTAATTTAACCAGAATATTTATTTTTATAATATTATAATAAATTCTAATCTTATAAAGATTATTTAAAGTTAGTATTATATTTCCTGTCTAGCTTATATTATTTAGTTTTTTATTAATATCTTTCTTTAAAAACTCTAAATTAAGACTGTAAATAAAGCGGTTAAATATATATAAAAAATTAATAATAAAAAATTAAAGATCTTTTCTGATATCTTCTAAATAATTAAAAAAATATATAATAAAAGTCCTTTATAAAAGACTTCTATAAGATTCTCTAAGAATTATCTATAAAAATCTTATATAAAATATTTTAAAAGTTATTTATAAAAGACTTTTGTAGATAATTTTTATAATTTATTTATTTTCTCTTATCTATTCTTTTAATTCTTGATTATAAATTCAGAAAATTATATATTTTATAAATATAAATTCTTAATACCAGGAGAAGTTTCAGCTTATTTAATAATTAAAATTTATTTCAGTATACTATCTTTTTCTTAACTATAAAATTTAATAAAATTTAATCTATCTTATAATTTATTATATAATTAAATTATATTTAACTATTAAGAGCTTTATCTAGTATTAGAATTATAATAATATTAATTATTTTTATTTTACTTTAATAAAATAAAAGCAGTTAAAATATCTATTTAAACTTTTATATTTTTTTTTTTATTTTCTGTCTATCAGAGAACAGCAGGTCTATAATTTATAAAATTTATAATATTTATAATAATCTTTTTAATTATCTTAACTAGTCTATTAATTAGCTGATATAGAAATAAATATTTTAAAAAAAAATCCTCTAGAGCTTAAAGAATATATATTAAAAATTTTATAAATACTATTATTAAATCTACCAGGCTGAAGACTATATTTATATAATTATAATAATTCTAGATTTTATATTAAAATTTAAAAAATTCAGGAAGAGTATCTGGCTAGATAATAATATTAATTAATATTTTAAATATTAAATTATCTTTAAAAAAATCTTTTATTTTTATTATTAATAGAATTTTACTATTAATATATTATTTTTAGTCTTTAATATACTTTCAAGTCTGGATAAAATCTTTTATAATATTTTAAAATATTAGAAATTTTTATTTTTTATAGCAATATTTAAAGAGCTCAAGATTTATCTTAATATTAAAGATATATAAATTATTAAAGACTGGAATAATAAATTAACTATATTAAAAATTATATATATATTAATAATTATCTAGAAATTACTGGATATTCTAATATCTTTATCTATTAAAAATCTTATTATAATTAGTTTTTTATTTTTTACTGTATGGCTAGAGACTTTCTAATTATTATAATTAATAATATTAATATTAAATATTTTTTTAATAATTTTTAAAATATTTATTACTATTACCAGAGCTGCCTGTATTCTAAAATTATTAAAACTTTTATATTCTAGATATATACTAATTATTTTACTATTACTAAGAAATATTAGAATATTCTTAATAATTTTTCTTTAAATTTTATTATATTTACAGCCAAGAATCAAGAAGATAATAAATTAATAATAATCTTTTATATTAGTAAAAATAAGAATATAAATAATCTTAATAATAATTCTAAAAATAAAATATTATTAAAAAGAAAAGATCTAATTTTTTCTTAATTTAATAATATTATATGTATCTAGATATAAATAAATACTTAAATTATATAATTTTTTTATTATTATAACCACCGACCAGAACAATATAAAAAATAATTTAAATAATAATTAATATATTTTTTTTTAGTAATTTAATTTAAATATATTCAGATTTCTAATATTATCTGTAAAAATTTAATACGGGAGTAACTAGACTGCTGGCTATTAATTAGAAAATTAGATTATTATTAATTAATAATTAATCTAATATTTATTTTAATAATATAATAATTAAAAATATATTACTACTAGTATATTATTCTTGTAAAGACTCTGTATAAATTACTAATTAATTTATAATTATTAATCTTCTGAATATACCTGATCTTTCTAACCGGTAGTTAAAATTAATTAAAGTAATCTCTTAATTATAACCTACCCTTAACTGTACAATTAAAAAGATTCTTATATCTTAACCTAACTGTCAGGTTACGGTTAAGGTTAGGTTAAGGTATAACAGTCAGGTATAACCACTCTAATCAAAGGCTATAAGTTATTAATAGATAATACAGTAATTTTAATAAAGAAAAACCAGGATCTACATACTGTATATAAAAAATAACTTTAAAAGAAGAAGTAATTAAAATAATAGATAATCTTTAAAAAAGATATCTTGATCCAGAAAGTAAGAATTAAATTATAATAATTAAAGAAAATCTAGATAAAAAAAAATAGTATCTTAACTACCTACTCAGGCATCTTCCTGCTGCAGTAAATACTATATAATTAATTACAGAAGAAATCAGTGTTTAAACCTCTGTAATAAGTAATAATATATATACCTTGCTAATAATAATATTATTTGAATAGCTTTATTCTTACTTGCGTTGGGTGTGTAGTAGATAGGTATGTTGTAAGTGGATGACCAGTGCAGGCGGGTGGCCGGCGCGGCCGGGAGTTACGTTAGATTAAATTTAATTTTAAATTTAATTTTAATTTAAGCCCGGAATATGTAGGCCTCAGGGCTATGGAAATAAATATTAAAAAATACTAGATAGAAAGATTTATATATATTCTGTTTAAGTTAACAGGAAAGGCCATGTATCTTACAATGAATATATACATTAGAAGCAGAGTCTAGATGAAGAATAAATAGAATAGTAACTTACAGGCAGCTGGCCAGTCAGCTGTGATACTTATTTATATCTGTTTTTATATAATTATATTTTGCTTTTATTATATTTAGTTATATTAAACTACGATGATGATCTTTCTACGTCGTAGTATGTGTTGTTTTTGTGTGTTTACTACGAGTTTAAGAGATCTGACAGTGCCCGATCAGGACAGGCTCAAAAGGAATGGATTGAGCGCGTCCAGACCCGAGTGACAGCGACGTCCAGCATGCTACGCGACATCAAGTCCATCAAGATGCTCGGACTTTCTCGGGTCCTATTGAGCACCACGTCCGAGCTACGAAAAATTGAGCTCAAAATCTCTGAGCGGTTCCGGAAGCTGCTCATCTGGGAAATTGTTATATGTGCGGAAAGAGGGTCTCCGACTAATGTTACTGAAACTGATCTTCCACAGTTAACGTGCCCACTGAATTCGCTCCTTTCGCAACCTTCGCTGCCTACACCATCATCGCGGTGGCAAAGCACGATAAGACATTACTTTCCAGTCAGGCCTTTACGTCTCTTTCGTTGATCTCCCTCGTTACCAGTCCACTCATCACCTTTGTCCAGGCTGTGCCTTCTGTGCGTCAAGCCATGTCGTGTTATCTTCGCATTGAAGAATACTGCGAAAAAGAGCCCACTGGGCTTGTCACGCATACAGCATCATCCCCTGTGCTCTCACTCACAGATAATGATTGGGACGTGGAGCTGCGATCATTTCAACCAAAATCAGAGTACAGTGCTACGCCTGTCTCTTTCGAGCGAGCTAATGTTGGGTGGGCAAAGGCTGGCGAAAATAAGCTTCACGACATAGTGTCGGATCGGGGGTTACCTTGCTTATTGGACCAGTAGGCTCCGGAAAGTCCACCTTGCTCTGTAGTCTATTGGGTGAAACAGTGATCAAATCTGGGGATGTGCGGGTTGCAGATCATCAAATGGCGTATTGTTCCCAAGTCCCCTTCATCATAAATGATACAGTGCGCCAGAACATTACATTCGGGTCGCCGTTTGATCCAAAATGGTATGAGTTTGCCATATGGGCTTGCGGCCTCAAAGAAGACCTATCAGATATGCCGGGTGGTGATCTTTATCTTGCAGGAACCGATGGCCTTTCACTTAGTGGCGGCCAAAAGCAGCGGGTTGCATTGTGCCGTGCTATCTACTCGAGGAGAAGGCTGGTCATCCTAGATGATGTCTTCAGTGGTCTTGACTCGAACAACATCAGAACTATTTCTACGCGTCTTTTTGGTCCGAATGGATACTTTCGCAGACCTGGGATGACAGTCCTTCTGGCCACTCATACAGGTATGTTGCGGGGCTGGCCTTTTCGAACGCAAAAATTGTTATATGTTGATTGTTGGATAGAACATTTATTTCAATATGCGGACGAAATTGTCGTTCTTGAAGAATGTAGAATTGTGCAGACTGGGTCGTTCGACGATGTGATGCAGCTCAGCAAGCCCGCAAGCACCGAATCCCCAGTGAGCACCGTCGGAACTGCAGACCACACGGCATCCGCGACGCAAGATGGTGATGAGCTGAGCAATACCGCTGCGAAGCCTTCAGCTCCAGACTCTCCGAGCCCTCTGCGACGCGAAGGAACTTGGTCTGTGTACAAATACTATTTTAGGCGTGCTGGTTTCATTCCGTTTGCGACCTGTCTGGCTTTCATTGTTGTGGAAGCAGTCAGTGGAGACTTCACAAGTACGTCCAAAATTATCTATGGTTCTATTTTTCTATCTCCCCAACTGATTCCCGGTCTTCCTTAGCTCTATGGATCCAGTGGTGGGTGGAGGCCAACGAAAGGAGTCCCAACAAAGACGCGGGTATGTATTTAGGAGTGTATGCTGTACTCTTCGTGATACAACTCGTAGGTAATGTGGGTGGATTGTGGTATGTATAATTCTATTATTCACTAGAATTCGGCCGACTACTGAGTAAATAACTTGTGCCCATGACCTTCACAGGCTTTTAGTTATAAATTTAATCAACAATACTGCGTTGAATCTCCATACAGACCTTCTCTCTGCGACGCTCAGGTACGCCTGAGGTTTCTTCTCATATTTCTACATGCTTCCGCTGATCAACCGTGATAGTGCACCGTTCAGGTTCTTCCAGGACACAGAAATAGGGGCTTTGACAAACAGATTCAGTCAAGATATGGAATTGATTGACATGATGCTACCGTTAGTGGCATCTATGTTCTTGACGGGTAATACTCTTTCCCTCACTTTTGCACATTTGCCTTCTATCAAACTATCGAAAAGCGGGTTTGGGAAGGGCTGAGCTTCAGAAGCTAACGCCAACCAACGTAGGACTGGCAAGCTGCGTGGTCAAACTGGTCATTCTTTGCATTGTCAGCAAATATCTAGCAGTTGCAGTCCCAGCGCTTCTGGTCAGTCTCGTCATCCTCCAGAGATACTACCTTCGCACTTCTCGACAGGTGCGACTACTGGATCTGGAAGCCAAGGCGCCCCTTTATACGCATTTCACGGAAGCAGTTCATGGGGTCACCACTCTCCGTGCTTACGGCATGAATCCCTGGTTCCAGGAGAAAATGCACATGCTCCTCGATAAATCACAAAGACCTTTTTATATGCTGTACTGCATACAGCAATGGCTGACCCTTGTTATGGGCCTGATTGTTGCGGCTTTGGCAGTGATTATTGTTGCGATGACAACCTCTTTGGCCGACCAATATAACGGTGCTGCGGTCGGTGTTGCCCTTAGCTTGATCTTAACCTTCAACAGCACCATCTCGAGCACTCTCCGGTCATGGACTAGTCTTGAAACGACCATCGGGGCAGTTTCGCGAGTTCAACAATTTGTGCAAGACACTCCTCGCGAGGCAAACCATGACCTCATGGGGAGCGTAGTTCTGGGAGTATCGGGTCACTCTCAGTTTACAATCGCATTCGAGAATGTAACAGCAGGATACAGGTAAGCTTTCCATTTCTTTAGCCACGCAACATCTGCCTTCAGCCCAATCGCCGGTGTCTCCCTGCTCTCCACACAAAGCTAATAATCCATACCCATAGCCAAGCCAGCCCGCCGGTCCTGAAGAATCTGTCGCTCACCATTCGCCATGGTGAAAAGGTAGCCATCTGCGGAGCATCAGGTAGTGGGAAGTCATCTATAATAATGTCGCTTCTTCGTATGAGCGAGATCCAATCCGGAAAAATATCGATCGGCGGCTGCGACATATCGGAGCTCGAGAGACAAGCTATTCACTCTGCTATCAACGTTATCCCGCAAGACCCGTTTCTGCTCTCCGGCACCGTTCGCTTCAATCTGGATCCGTTCGGAATGGCCACGGATGAACGCATCACTTCTGGGCTCCAGAAGGTGGGTCTTTGGAATCGAATCAGTACCGACGGGGGGCTAGATATGGAAATGTCCAGCATCTCAACCTGGTCACTGGGCGAAAGGCAATTGCTTGCGCTCGCCCGGGCGCTTGTGGTCCCGCGGCCCATTCTCATCCTCGACGAGGCCACTAGTAGCGTCGACCGAGAGACAGAAGCCCTTATGCAAGAAATCATCGAGCAGAATTTTCGCCATCAAACCGTTATTGCTGTCGTTCATCGCTTCGCTTACATCGATCGGTTCGATCGGGTAGTGTTCCTCAAGGATGGGGAGATGCTTGAATGCGACGTGCCGCATGCATTGCTGGGACGGGAATGCAATTTCCGGCAGCTATACCGAGCCTGGGAGAAAGCATAGGTTTAGGTTATGTTATTATTTCATGTGATAACTTTTATTGGACCGATAACAAACCTTGGCAAATAAGTCGCCGCTGTCTGGGGTGCTTAGGGTATCGGTTCTTATCCAGCCAAGAAGTGCGGGTTGGAACTCTGTTCGTATTGGCGATAACGGTTGGGGAAGTGTTTATCGGCAGGCAGATTGCCGCAGGCATTGGCTATCGATAGGATCGTCCCTCAGTGCCATCTGGCTTGGCATCTTATGCCTATTTCTATGTATGGGAAACATGATTGGCTTGCTCTATCTCAAAGTCGGATTAGCCGAAGCAGCCAGGCAGACAGCAGGAGGACAGCCAAGGTGGGGAGTGAAAATCTTTGACAAAAGCAGCATTGTAGGAAGTAGCGACCACGTGGGACACAGCAATTAGGGTCTCCATCGGAACGGCCAGGTTTCGGTCGGAAGTAACCCTGTGTGATGCTCAATGGATCGCTTCTCACTGGATGGATATTCTCCTCGAGAGGGGACTATTGAATGGCGCAAGACCCTATCCTGATGGACAAATGGGTCACTGGTGGTCTGATACAGCACACCTGACCAATTTCAGATTATTTCAGGGATTGAAATTGGCCAGCACACGATGAATCCTGGCTCGAGTGCCTTCGTCCATTTCATTGAACAGGACAAAGGATTGCACCAATCCTCCGCGAGAGAGAAGAGCAGGGACCTGGGTCGCACTGGTGTCGCCACTAGCGCGGGGGTGTGCCACTTCGTTGAATGCATGGATGGCGAGCTGAGGTGTGCTGCAGGAGCTCCGTAGGAGTTCCGACGCCTGAACGGACCCCCTTGGCTCTCTGTTTTCTCTTATCGCGCCCAGCATCGAACTTCCTCTGAACGGGAGGCCGCCTATCATCCCCTCTGCGTATCTGGATGCGCCTGTCACGCCCTAAGCCTTATCAAATGTTCTACCGGGCCCCCTCAATATATGTATGAATCTACTAGAGTGAGGGAAATCAGGGGAGTAATTGATGTACCAGGTACTGGATACCCCTGCACCCCTCGAAAATCAAAAGTGCCACATATTGCTTGGGGCGAAATTGCCGCTACGGAATGGCGTCAGCAGCACACGCGATGGCATCTCCAGCAGCCCTTCAAAGATTTTACAACACGCGCTACAGTTCATTCGGATGTAACCCGGAGAGCCAGGTGATTTCCCGGTAGAATTACATGCTTTCGGTTCATTCCTGCACCAATGGTGACCCGAAGGAGGGTGGACTAGCAGGTCGGTTATCTAAACTCGGTCCTTCGCTAGGTGAGGGGAACGAACGTCAATTGGAGGGTTCGGAGGCGTTCGAGAAGAAGCGAATCCACCGGCGCAGAGGCCGGAGCGTTGTGCATCCAACGACCCTCTCACCAGATTCCCCTAGCCCTGTCGCAGGGCCGCCTCCCAGTCCCTTTTCAGCAAGATGGCTAATCGCCGTGGTTTGTGGTATCATTAATTCACTCGTGGTATGGCTCCAATGGCAATTCACCCTTATCGGGGTAAGACTATAAAAAGACCCCTAGGGACCACCTTGTGGCAATGATCTCTCCTCCTCGTGCCTCTGGAAAAGTGAGCCCCCTGCCAACATGTCTGCAATCACGACCGGTGCAGCCCGAGAGGGTGACGGCGTCTCAATCCCCCACCCAGATGCTGTCGATGAGAAGTCCGCTGTCACGGTGCTCGCTGGCAAAGAAGACCACAAGATCACCGGTGATGAGCTGAGCGGCGAAGAGGATCGCGAGAGCGAAGACGCCATTATCATCACTGGTGCAGACGCTGCCGCTCACCTGCTGCCACTCAGGGATGACTTCGACAGTGCATTGACATTTCGGAGTATCATTCTCGCCTCCGGTCTGGCGTGCTTCCAGGCGGTCATGAACCAAATCTACATGGTAGCACAAGACACCTTAGCCTGTCGTGCAGATGTGTTGACACCCTGCTGACACCTGTCCACAGTTTAAACCTACTGCCGTCACCATTCAAGGAACTTTCATCGTCCTGATCGCTTACTTTGTCGGCAATGCCTGGGCCAGGTTCCTCCCCCGGGGTGATAAGTTTGAAGCTCGTTGGAGGGAGAAGGGTGGTCAGGGAAAGCTTCCATGGCATATTAGGTGGATAAAGTTTGTGAATCCTGGACCGTGGACTCTGAAGGAGCACGCTATTTGCGCTATCACAGCCACATCTGCTTCCAATGCCGCTGCATCCTCGCAGGTGTTTGCGGCGCAGAACCTCTTCTACAATATGCCCTTTAGTGCCGTCACTGTCATCTTCAGCACCATTTCGATCGGTCTGTTCGGTTATGGTCTTTGTGGCATTATGCGACCTATTGCCGTCTGGCATGTTGAGGCGGTCTACTGGAGTACTCTTCCTACTGTCAAGACCCTTCAAGGGTTGCATTGGCAACAAGTCAAGAACTCCAAGCCGCTCCGGTACTTCTGGTATGCCTTTACTGGCATGTCGTTGTATGAGATTATTCCTGCATACATATTCCCGTGGCTTAACTCCGTTTCTATTCCGGTACGTTGTTCATTCCACCTTTGGTGTGTAGGGGGTTACTAACATAGCTCTAGTGTCTAGCTTCCCAGAAAGCAACCGGCAAAAAGGGCGCTGTACTCACCAATGTTTTCGGTGGATCCACTACGAATGAAGGACTGGGTTTATTCTCTCTCAGCTTCGACTGGCAATATGTACGGATCATTAGTCTATCGACAATTCTCAAGGCTGACTTGTCGCAGATCACCTCCTTCCAAACCTCTCTTCCTCTCAAGCTCCAGCTTCACCAGGACATTGGCATCGCCTTCTGCTTCATCATCATGGTAGCCATTTACTACGGAAACGGCTGGAACGCCCGATCCCTTCCATTCATGTCCACGGAGCTTCTCATGGCGAATGGTACTTCGTATCCAGTCTCCAGCGTCTTCCCTGACGGCGTGCTCGACAAATCTGCCTTGGCTACATACGGTATACCCAGACTAACTGGAACATTTGCATATGCTATGTTCATGGCTAACGCTGCTGTAAGTACGCCAGGAATATGTGCAAGCTAATCAGCTAACCTCTTCTAGATCGGAGCCCTCATCATGCACTGTATCATCTTCTGGGGCGGCGATATCAAGCGGGCCTACCAGAGCGCCAAACAAGGTCGCTATGACGATCGTCACCACGAGCACATGGCCAAGCATTACACGGAAACCCCGTGGTGGTGGTACGTTGCGGTGCTTGTCATCAGCTTTGTTCTCGGACTGGTGGTGGTTCTCAAGGAGAACATTACCCTTCCCGCCTGGGCCTACATTGTCTCATTGATTGTCGGCATCATCATCTCGCCTTTCGTGAGTACCCCATAACCAACACTCCCACTCCCACTAACAAAGGCAGAGTACCATCCTCTACTCTCGCTACGGCAACGGAATCGCGACCAACAACCTCTCAAAGATGTTAGCAGGACTGATGCTCCCCGGGCGCCCCGTCGGAAACATGTACTTTGCAGCGTGGTCCCACAACGTCATCTCCAACGCAGTGAACCTATCCAACGACCTGAAGATGGGCGAATATCGTAAGCAGTCATCTCACAAACCCCCATATCCCTAGCACAAAGTCTAACCCATTGCAATAGTAAAAATCCCCCCACGAGTCATGTTCCTCACCCAAATCTACGGCACCATCCTGGGCGGTTTCATCAACTACGCCATCATGATCTCCATCGTGACCGGCAACAAAGCCCTCCTCTCCAACGGCAACGGCAACTCCTCCTGGAGCGGCGCCACCATGCAATCCTACAACACCAACGCCGCCTCCTGGGCTCTTGCCTCCTACCTCTACCGCTCCGGCACTCCCTACGCCATGGTTCCCATCGGTCTAGCCATCGGCGCCGCAGCTGTCGTCGCCCATCGTCTCTTCTACTACGTATGTCCATTCCCCCAATACCCCCATCTTACCAGCCACCCCAACTAACCCATCCATTTGAAAATGTATACAGTTCGTCCCCAAAATCCGCAACTTCGACGTCTCGGAAGTCAACATGCCGCAATTCATCCAATACGCAGGCTACATCCCCTACAACCAATCGCAAACATGCGTACTCTTCAGCTGGGTCCTCTCAGGCCTCTTCGTGCAGTACTATCTGAGGAACTATCATCCGAGGATCTTTAAGGATTACTCGTATTTGATTACGGGTGCGTTTGATGGCGCTAGTTTGACGATTGTGTTTATTTTGTCTTTTGCGGTGTTTGGGGCTGCGGGTGTCGCGCATGATTTTCCCTCTTGGTGGGGGAATAATTCTAATGGGAATTATGATTGGTGTCCTGTTACTTAGGATGTCTTTTTTTTTCCGAGGGAAGAAGTTGTTGGATGGGGTGGGATGGGATGGAATGGGGACGTGGAGGGGAGGGGGAAGGTGTGGATGTTCATAACTCTGCTCTGTCTTTTTTATGTACTAAGTAAATAATGTTATTAGGGGGTGTTGATGAATGAATATATATGGATGGATGACTGAGGTTAGTTGATCGAAAGTAGCATTCTCCTAGATTATGAAATGTTTGTTCTTGTGGAGGTTGAAAGGGTGACATGGGATTATATTATATATTCCTCAGTTGGTTAGTAGTATCTTGTTGACTTAGTCTCGATTTAACATTGAAGGGTATAGATATATAGAGAGTGATGAAATATAAAGATTTATCTGGTGGTTATTTTCTCCTTAATGTCCAGTCCAGAAATAAAGACAGACAGACATGTTAACTCAAACATATCATCTTCACAAAAGGTCCAACTGAGACGGACCAACTCTTCAATTCGAAGATGCATATAACCAAGAAGAATTTCATCTTCAATAGTCCATAATATGTGCAGATTAACAATGTATGAAATTATCTGCATAGTTTCATCCTCGTAGCCGACCCGCGGTACCCTATCCCGACACATAAAAAAGATTATTTAACAGAAAGTACTAAGCAGTACCTCTACGAGGTCCGCTATATGCAAAATTCCCATCCCTAGAAATGCTCATTCATCACCGATACCCCGCCAACTCAGCTTTCGGACCATTATTCGACGGTAATTCCACAGGCGCAGACTGGCCATCTAATTCGCTCGCTGGGGCGGAATATGGTTGCTGGGTCTGACTGTAGGCGTATGCCGAGTATTGAGGACTAGGGTCCTGTGGTTGGAGATGCATCTGTGTCTGTGACTCTGGTCGTTGCTTATTGCGCCGTCGCAGGAAGTAGAAAAGAAGGCCGGCTATTGCTGCGACGCCGGCGACACCGCCAACGACGCCTCCGGCTATTGCGCCCGTGTTGGTGCCTGAACCTGATCCGGAGGATGTTGCTGCTGTGGTTGTTGCTGCTGATGCTGTGGTGGTTGAGGCGGATGTGGATGTGGGGGCTGATGTTACGGATGAGGAGGCTAGGAGGAGTGGTTCCGTATGTTAGGAATGGATCTAAAGGTATCTATCTATCTGTCTTGTAGGGTAAATAAACTCACTTGTTGCGATCAACTGCAAGGCGCTGTAACTGGCATTGCCCGGCGAGTCGGGGCTCAAGCAGCCCACCCAGTCTGTCCCCTTGAGTCTGAAGCCACTCTCGTCCTCAGTGCAGCAGAAATATCCATCGTAGTCGTACATATTCCAGGAGCTATTGGCGCAGGTGGCAGGTTTGATCTCGGAAGTGCAGTCCGTCCAAGTCGGACAGCAGACATTGTTTTGAATCGAGTACTCTTTTCCGGGACATTTAGACCCGGATGGGCAGCAAGCGTGCCAGGTTTCCCATGTTCGTCCGCATCCGACTTCGTCGCTGAGACAGGAGTTATTGCGGCGAATGGCGTAGCCTTGGATTTCCGAGGTAGACATGGTGGTAGTAGGTTTAATGAATGGCACTGGCACTGGCACTGGCACTGGATCTGCGTAGGGGACGGTAAAGGGCCGAGGCAAGGCGCATTCTCGGGGCGGAAAGGATGAGAGAAGAACTTCGAGGAAGTAAGGGGACGAGGCTGATTATTTTGTCGAATGCGCGCGGACCTGCTTGTCAGACGCATCTCGCTTATTCAGCTCCTCGGGTTTGCAAAAAGTGATCCTGATTCCTGGGGGGCCCTTAGCTTGCTCTAGTTTGATTGGGATCATCTGATTTTGGGTAGAGATACGAACGGGCACGGGGCTTGGATGTTTCTGTGCCGATCAGGCTCCACAGTGCGGGATGGAGTGTGTGTTGTTTCGCCAATTTGCAGAGTTTGGCTTTATCTGATAACGGGGGAGTTGCTGTCAATTGCACGTGTATAAATAACTCCGGTCGGCATGATTCATGGTAGTTTAACTAGACGACTGCTGGGTTATGCTGAAGGTGGAGGGTTGGAAATTGGAGTAGATATAGTATGAGTCTGATGGACAGCACACTGCGGAGGAGCGGCAGGGCAGGTAAGCAGAACGTGTGATTTTATCCTCTGGTGTGTGTGTAACTCGAGGTATTGAAGAGTCATCTGCTGTTATACTGCGAACATTTTTGTATTTGCACTTTGTATAATTTTGGGTCCTGCCATTGAGCAATGACCGATCTTTGTTGAGCAGTAATGTTTTCTGCAACGACACAGTTATCTAAGCTTACAACTCGCCGACTCAGTGGGCTAAACAGGCCCCACTTTGAACGATCATGAAGCCAATTATGATCCGAGTTGGAATGGAGGCACGCGAACAGAGAAACACGGCAACATCCCTGGAAAGGGGCCACGTCCGTGCACAATGGGTCGTCCCGCTTTCCCTCGTTTGGCATCGGATTTTCCGAGAAGAGGCTCTTTAATTCTCGCTGGATAGCTGAATCCACCGGCGACAGGCTACCCTTCTCGCTCGTCTCTGATTCATTATACTGGTATGGATGCTGAGTATGAGCGGATAATATGTCCGTTCATCGTAACGTTGGTTGGACAGAGGATGTGTACTCTCAATTCACCTGGTTATATCTCCCTGACGGTTGTGAGTTAATCAAATGCCTGTGCTATAATGGCAGTTTTTCTGGGCGCCGGGATGCCGTGGTAAATGCCAGTCAATAGAGCAGTACGACTTCGAGAAACTGCCGGGAAGCGGTACGGGATGTGGATAAACGGGTATCGACGCAGTCCACTTGCATGTAACTCAGCGTCCCAAGGTGGATCATTCTCTGCTTTGTTGAAGAGCGCTCAAGGACACGATCGGGATATCTGAGCTGGCAGCCCGTATATGCCTCATTCATCCAGGCTACCGATTGCAAACACTTGTTCAACATACTCGTCTCGGTAAAAGGCTGCACCCGGCAGTACGGGTAACATCAGGCTGACTGCAAGGATCTATGTAGATGTTGGTCTCTCACCAGCCGTCTCCTAACCCGGATAGTAACAAGGAATTCGGATGGCGCTATGGATAAGTTGTGATGCATGCCTCGATACCAACTCACAAGGCATAGCCGGGACACAGACCAGCAATGAATGTAGCTGGCTAGGTGGGACGGTCTGAATGACCAGGATATAGACGGTGGCCTGCCTTGGGTCGTGGTACAGGTCTGAGCCTCCACCCTGGGATGGTCAACGTTGGAGCGGGTACTGATGCTGAGTCTGGGGCTGGGATGTGTGCACCTCTGATACGATCGGTGTAACTCGCCTCTGCGTGCTCGAGTGTGAGGAATTCTGTGTCTGTGTTGCTCTTGCACGGCAGCTCGATCTCTGGACTTTCCAAGCTTGGACACTCGCGGATGGTCATTACGGCTGTAGCATTGTCCCCGTTGAGACTACAAGCCTTGCCGCTGGGTGAGCTTGTATAACCACGGGATGGTCGAGACTTCTAGATATTCGGGGACATTGGTCCTGGTTTGTTACACGCATAGGTCCCAAGCTCTTGCGCAATTTGGTAAGTCGGAGCTGGCAGGTAACTGAGTCGGGATACAGCTTGATCACCGAAATGCGTGACGTATGTCCAACCTCCAGAAATGGTCATTCCTTCAGAGACATTGTTATGACAATTCATTGTGACACTGGCTGATGTCGTCATTGTTGGGGCTGTGTATCCTTGAGAAGCTTGTCGATTAGCTGTGGGTGATGTGGGTATGCATTCAGCCGCTGGACTAGGTATGCAGCCTTATGGGGAGGAAAGGGACTGCTACGCCACACAGCGTCAATTCCAGCCACTTGATATCAATACCGATGATGGAAAAAACGTAATATAGTCGCACACATGTCAAAGTGCAAGGATACCCAATAACCTATTTCCGAGTCGACTCCCGTTTGCAGTGTAAGGCTGAGAAGCTACGATGATTGGGTAAGTGGATCAAGTGGAGCCACCGAAGCTTCCGAACCAAAAATTTTCCAGTGGCATCGCCCACCACATGCGAATCTTCAAAATGCAAAAAGAGAAGCCCAACGCGGGGCTCGAACCCGCAGCCTTGAGATTAAGAGTCTCACGCTCTACCGATTGAGCTAGCCGGGCTAGTTCGGTGAAGGAAACATTCTGTACACGGTATAAGAGGGCGACAACAGCTACAATTCGTGCTACGATTACTATCAGATGGTGTGTTTGAGCCTCTTTGCGCTGTTGTCAATAGAAGGTATGGGAAAGGTTGGCGCCTAATGAGTGGCAATCGTAAGGCAGACTTCCATATTGAGCATGGTGGTTACGCCCATCATGAGACAAGCTATCCCGGGCTTCACCAACACTCGTTGTATATATCCGCCGTAAGCATTGGCTATCCCGGGCCTTCCCAACTGACAATCATACCCAGTGAATAGACGCGCTGGAGCGTAGTAGGCTGAGGGACCGTGGTCTGGGATGCAAAAAAGCCGCAGGGTGGACACCATGCGCATGCTCGTCATGCCCGTTGCGCCATTATCGGTCGGACGTTCACAAGGCAGTCCCAAGGGACTGGTACGGTTGCTGTAGCCTCAGAAAGCGAGGGACTTGGTGGACAGTAGTACAGCAAGAACGGAGAGCCGAAACGAGAACGAGCCTCCGAAAAACTGGCGTCACCGCGATAGGACACGAGGTGACGATTTTCTCTCGCGCGCGTCAAGCGAAACGAAAAGATAGAACCGATCGGACGGTCGATCAGTGATGGAAGGCATAGAACCATCAGCACTTGCAGGATGCATGATCTCACGCAGATACCTCGTGGGTTGAACTGTGGCTGTAGCGCCGGAGTGGCAGAAAGGAACGCTCTCGGCCAGTCATCCTGTGGCTGAGGCGCAGCAGGGTATCGAGACACATGGTCTCAATGATTTCATGGCTGCTAGCGTAAGGGGTAGTCTGGGGCTCAGACATCTCCTTATCACGAAGTTGGCGATCATGGGGCTGCTCGTATTGGATCGCTGGGGAAACAGGTTCGAAACACCTATTCTTAGCCGGTCGCGATCGAGGCAAAAATAGAATAGAAGCGATCGAGAGAAAGCCAATATTGTAGGGTACCAACAGAATGGAACCGAACCATCTCTCGTCTCAGATAATGCGGGTCAAAGGAGAGAGCGGCTGCATGGCTAATGAGCATTGGCATGGACATGGGAGAGTTAACGCGTGAAACGGACTACCGCAACGATGGATACTGACCAACAATGGGCGGAGGTGAGATGGGGATGCTGACGGTCCCTGAAAGACGGGCGGATTATGGTGTCATGAACTAGGGGAGTTCGTGTTGAGAGAGCAGAGAGGAGGGAAAGGTGGCTTCTACTGGCGTGCGGCTTAGTTTCTAGACACGAGGAGTCAAGCCACAGTTGGGGCTGGCCACATCTTGAAGAGCACTTCATCGTCGAACTTTAACCCGATGACTCGACCCTTCCCCGACCCTAAAACAGGTATAGTACTCCCCTCCTGGACTGGTTGAGTTGGTCATTGCTAACTGTATTGTGTCTAGTGTGTCCACTCGCCATGACCATCCTGTCCCCGAATGGAGTCACAGGGACTGGTTAGTCTGACAGGAGGGGGTTGCTTGGGACCAAGTTAGGGCCAATCATGAAAGCGGGTGAGGAGCGAACGGGTTGCAACAGCCGCCGGACCAACAACAAACTACAAGTTAAGAGGATCAGCACTGCCTGCTTTGCACCAGCCACACTCCCCATGTCTAGTGCCACTACTTACTACTAAGTACCACTACACACTAGTACTCCCGTACTAGTCCCAAGTCGTCCTGAGGCAGGCTCCCGTTGAGCCTTAGCAGTCACCCGCAGGCTGCCATTCCCTCCACCACAGTTTCTTACTGTTTGCTAAATTCCGAAAAAAGAAATTCAGAATATATTTCCATGTTGCTAAACTTTTTTAGTCTCTCCGCCTGTGACCCATTCGTCATGGCTGCTCCCGGGACCACTGTCTCTCTGCTAACATTCACTGTATGCCAATCATGGATGCCTTCCATCCTCCTCAACTATATAACTTCCCTCTCCACCCCCCCAATTAACCTCCTCTCATTCACTTATTCACTACACACTTCTCTCAACCATCCATATATATAATCCACCACTTGAAGAGACTTCTACATCTCTACTATCCACAACTTCATCGAGCTTAAACGAGTTCAAACTACCCTGCTATAGTCCTCGTGATCCATCCGCCAGTCACGCTGTCGCCCTCCAAGTCTCTCCGTTTCTGGCCCCCCTTCTACTACTCCATTCAGGAGACTCTTCGAATTGAAAGACCTCGTTATTGTACTCGAACGCCCCTCCGTCGTTCAGCAACCATGCCTGCTCCCATCGAGCAGCCCTCCGAGCCCGTCGTGCTCGTGCGCGACCCCGAGGACGATGAGAGCTACGTGATCTCTGCCTACGAAGGCCACGCCGACCACTGCACTCGATGCGCAGACCCGATGACCGCGTACGAAGAGAAGCGCTCGCTCTGCAAGCGTGGTGCCCAGTATGCCCGCGACGTGACCGAATACCTCCGCAGCAAGAACGGAAAGATCTACTCCGTTGTTGACCTTGAGCGCAACCGATCCACCCTGGTCAGGGTGCCCCTGAAGTGCGTCGCTGTTCGCCAGCTGCTCCTAGCAATCGAAAATGGTCTGCGTGTGAACACCAAGGAGGAAGTCACCGCTCGCGAGCGGCCGATAATCAGCCATGAACCAGCCCCTGTCCGCCGGACTGCCACTCAGGAGGATGTGGCCTGCACTGCAATCATTGAGCGAGAGCCACGCTCTCTGAGGCGTCACCGGGTCATTGTCTACACCTCTCCGCGGAGCTCTCCCAGCCGTGGGTCTCTGTATGAGGCCGACGCCGCTGACCGCATTGCGCGTGTCAACCGGTCCTCGCGCATCTACCGGCCGAGCGACTACTACCGCTGAGGGACATGAGCAGAGCTTCTGATGCATTCATTAAGGTTTCACGCATGCGCAATTGTGGATATTTCTGCGGTGCAGACAAGTCACCATTATTATCACCGACCCGGCCCCGTCGCAGCAAAGGCTAGACCAGCCTGCGACACTGGCACGAGCCAGACCCATGTCCGATAGTAGCCAGCTTATCTATGGGTCCTCGGGGATATTTATACCCCGCCTAGAGATTGGCTACATCCTTGTTGGAGGAACTGGATTCCTTGCTTACTGTTCTGTTACCGACCTGCTGTCTGATTCTATCCTATCCTGTTTGGGGTGAAGAAGAGGAAACGAACGAAAGGAACAAAAACAGGCGAAAACACAAAAATCACCCACCAAAAAAAAAAAAAGAAACGAAAGCAAAGGAGGAATTTCCTTCACTGTTGAGCAACCAGGCTTCAATCTGCACACTGCAGCTCTGACTCACTCCTACTCCAAGTGGTCAACGGGCACACCCACCATCCGATGGCTGCAGCTCACCTGCATGCAGTCCGTCCTCCGACCGATGATCCACCCGGATCATCCCCTTCCCCTCATTTGGTCTTTTTCATCGGGGGCTCGAACGAGTTACACCCACTATTTCCTTTGTCTTTGCAATGATTCGTGCTTACGCGTCCAATAAGTGATGCTGTATTTTAATCTGGAATTTATTTGACTATTGCCAAGTGGTCTTTCTGCAAGTCTCACTCTTCTGCAACGTAGCCAACCAACTCTTAACTCCCGTTACTCTGCATGTGCATAGACAGCCTCATTTGTCTGCCTAGTGCCTAGCCAGTAGCCAGTTAGCCACAGAAGTTACTCCGTACTATCCTCTCCTTATACTATCCACTTACTATACCCTCCCTCGGCACTGCGGCTCTATCCCTGTTCCCCCTCCCCTTAGCAGCCAGCCAGCCAGCCTCTAACATCCACCCGCGCAAAGTTTATTTCTCATCGTGCATTTCTTATACCCCGGTACACCGTACATGAACATACATTGCGAGTGAATGAGTGAGTGAGTCATGCCAGTCAATATACCCTATTGGCTCGACCTACTAGTAGACTCTGCACTAATCCTTGCCCCAGATGCATACTACCACTACTCTTCTGAATCTTGAAAATAGCACTGCACATGAAACTCCCACCACAACACAAACAAAAGACCTTGTTTCCACAACATATGTACTAAGCCAGGAGGCTGGTAATTATTACCCATTTAGTTAGCTAGTTAGTTACTAGGTATCGCACCGTTTAAATCCAACCCACTACGCTACGTGGTTCCTCTGTCACTGTACCCTGTGGATCATGGCCCCCACTGCGGGTACTCCACCGGCTCTGGCCTCGACTCGAAGTCTGGGTAGTAGGGTACATAGTGGAGACTGGTATCTATACTTAGTGGGTATGTAGTGTATGCCACAGTGACAGCAAGTGAGTGTCTGTATATGTAGTGGGTGGTAGAGGGTGGGTACTATGTACGTATACGTAGTGAGTAAGATAGTGGTGGTGGTACTTTTGCTTCCGGCCGGATCAGCGGGTGCTAGCCCGGGTGCTAGTATAGTAACTGTTGTGGATCATGTTGATAGTGATACGGATGGGATGCTGTTCCTGTCGTTAGTTAGGTACTTCGGAGGTAGAGTATGGGGCTGTTGGGCAGGTACTGTTACTATCTAGTTACTTACTACTTACTAGTCAGTTAGTGAGAGCTTGCTGTGTCTGTGCTGTACGTAGCTAGCTAGCTAGCTAGCAACAACTACTAAATATAGTTGTCTTCGGCAGTTGAGATGGCTATTACCGGGGTGTGCTAATACCCCTTTGGGTTATTGTGGATAGCTTCAAGCCCAATATCTATTGATCATTGGCAGGTACTAATGTATACGTCTATCGGGGAAGAATAGAGATGGGGTAATTCTCCGAAGAAACCTACTAGGAGCTATAGCACGGCCCGGGGTTAGGCTAGCTCATCATCATCAACATTGCTGGTTTGATTCTGAAACCTGAAACCTGGCTAGTTGGCTAGAGTGGAGAGGTCAAATGCTGTCCAGACTCTGGACTGGTGAGATCGACGTCTGTTATCGGGTGATTTAGCTATGTTATTCATGGGGAGATGTGTCTGTGCGTTAGTCTAGAGTGGTCGGTGATGATCATAATTGTAGATGATAATGGACGGAATAGGTAGGTTGCTGAAGAATGGGGATCCACTTGGATGTACGTATATTCTGTTGGGATAGGATATGTGCATTGAGGTCCATGGGACAGACAACAAGTACGTTATCACACCATCGTAAGTGAGTTTGTAGTATGCTGTCAGACTGTCTGGACACTTGCTTGTGGGTCAATGGTTGGAGAGGCGCTTGTGTTATACTTTATGCTGTGTATTGGGTGGAGAGAGAAGCCGGCAATGGTATCGAGGTAGCATTGAACATAGATATGAGATGTGGCTGGTGACCTTGGAGACAGACGGACAGGTTCCGAGGTGAATTCAGGGCAGCACTATGTGACTGACCACTGTGGTAGCGTAGTATGGGTAAAAGGTACGGAGTACTGGGCTTTCATAGATGCCCTAGGCAGCTAACAAGGAGCACCAGGGTCTATGTAGTAGAATTCGGGTGTATAGGTCCCCAGGTCGCCAGGTTTACCACCTGGCGAGGTCTTATATTATATAAAATTTTAATTAAATTTTATTAAAAGATCTGATAATTACTAGTTAAGATTAAAAAAATCCAACCTGGGGAGTTTTAGTTATAAATTACTATATATGTATCGGGTATTATTTATTCCATTTCTATTTATATATATATATAAATTTATATATATTTATTTATATTATATTAATAAAATATAAAATTACTAGTTACTAATATCTACTAGAAATGATTAGAT